GACAGGTGGATCCTCTGCTGCCAATCTTACACAAGGAGAAAGCGCAATAATTAACGGCAAAATACTTTAACAGTATAATTTTTCGGTTATTTTATTTTAAACCTATGGATATATTGCCTGCACGTATGCCTCTCCATCACTTGTGTGTCATGACTGATGTCTGAGGATGTCAGCAGAGGGTACCAGGTGGTTGCTGGAAACTCTGGTCCTCTGGAAGAGCAGCCAGTACTCTTAGCCACTGAGCCATCTCTCCAGTCCCTTAACAACATAGTTTAGCAGCACCAATTACATATAATGCAAGAAATATAGAAACTAACCTTTCATCCATGGGGACAAAATTGTATATATATATATATATATATATATATATATATATATATATATATATTTTAAAGAATAAAGCTACATAATATGTTTTATTCACTGGAAGGCTTGGAGGTTTCTGACACAGTTATCTGTTATCATTAATACCAAAAGAAACAGCAAGGTGCGGAGGCTGAGAGATGGCTCTCAGTGAGCGAGGCTTCCAGGAATTCGATGCTTATATGTTGATTCCCACATCGAACGTGGCTGTCTTGTGGTTTTAAACAAAGGGGGCATCAAAAGGGACCCCGCAGGTTTCCAAAAAAATCTAACCTGTGATGTCCTGGCAGTCAGGTTTGTCTGCAATGTTCCTAGAGTCTGTATAAATCTTTAGTTTGCTATGCCCAGTCCTTGAGGACCCCAAAAGACCACGAGGGAGACCGACTCACTGAAATGCAAAAGCAAGGTTTATTGGGTGCATGCCACAAGCCTGTCGGGACCTCGTCAGTGCAGCAGCGGGAGGAGGTACCCCACCTTTCTAGGGAGCACTATTTAAAGGCAAATCCCAGAAAAGGTTCATTAGCAGGGTGTGGGTGACGGGCTCAGTCCTGATTGGTTGACATTTGTCTAGGGGTGTCCTGGTGAAAAGCGATGGGTGTGGGCTGGCAGGTGATCCTATCTGTAACAGTTGGAACATTAAGAATTTCCTTTGGATGGTCTGTTCCTAGGTGGTGCCTGGGTAATCTCAGTTTGTGGTCTTTATAGAACCAGGTAGTGCCTTAGGATAAGCTACGGAGACTCAGGCCTCTGCTGAGCTTGTCTTGCTGGGGCCTACAAGTAACCTAGTTACCAGAGATCAAGTGGAAATCACAAGAAACAGAGAGGCAAAGCGGAGAACAGACAAATCTTTCTCAGCAACCCAACCATGCCTCACCTTCCAGGCATCCTTGTCCCAACTTCAGACTCAAGGAGTGAGCCTTCTTAAGCACCGTATGCAGTCACGCTCCTGGGTGCCTCAGCTGCATAAAGAATCTCGTGAAGCAGAGCTACACAGTCAATCAATACCAGTATAGCATACTTTTGAACAGTGACGGAGTGCTGCAGTTTCCCACAGTGACCACTAGATGGCAGAAGACTCCCCAGCCCGCTTTCCTCGGAGGCTCCCCTTTTGCTAGTAGGAAAGCCTCTGTGTGAAACCACAGTAGCTGAGGGGGTTTAGTCAAGAAGGCCTGGTGACAGCAAGCACTGAGGAAGGCTCTAACTCTTTCTGATACTTTAGACAATGTACCCAGCTGCCGTTAATGTGGGTCAAGTAATTTGCGGGGACTCTTTTTTTCCCTAGCCTCATGAAACTGGTACCTTGTTCTGATAACACTTTTCCCTTGGGGACAACCCCAACCTTTACTCACGAATTCCACATACGCTCACAGGCTATGCACTGCACAGCACCCGAGGACCCACCGATGTCTACTATATGAGAAGAACCCACTAGACAGAGCTTTGCCCAAGCTGTAAAACCATCAAGACCATCCACAAAAAGATGGCCCGCCATTTTCCTAGCCAAGGTGTAGGTGTGCGATCTAAACCAAGCTTGCCATGAGTCTGAACTTGAACCCTGAGCAGAACGAGAGACTGATTCGTTCTGGCATGGATGCTAGAAAGAGTGCCCATGATGCTTGCTACTGGGTCTCCAGGGCTCTGCTGGTCCTGGACCTTCCCAACACCTACAGCCTGCTTTTGCAGTCACTCAGGAATGTGTTCTGTTACTGACAAACAAGGAGCCCCAGTGGGTCAGTCCACACTTCAGACTAAGATGGAAGCTAGATCCAGAGAGGGTCCGTGTTAGGATGGAGTCAAGTCTCCATCCATTATAGGCTTTCTCACTCATCCCAGCAACATTCGGGAGACCTGCTCTGTGCCCAGAGCTGCTCTACTACAGCAATTTATTTATTATAATATTTTAATTTACTCTTTGGGAATTTCATGAATATATAGTGGTGTGGGAGGTCCTTCTGTCTATGTGTTGCTTTTACTGGTTAATGAATAAAGAACTGCTTTGAGCCTATGGCAGGGAAGAACAGAGCTAGGCAGGGAAAACTAAGCTGAATGCTGGGAGGAAGAAGGGCGGAGTCAGGGAGATGCCATGGAGCCCTGCTGGAGATAGATGCCAGAACTTTAGCCGGTAAGCCCCAGCCACAGTAATACACAGATTAATAGAAATGGGTTAAATTAACATGTAAGAGTTAGCCAATAAGAACCTAGAGCTAAAGGGCCAAGCTGTGATTTAATTAGTACAGTTTCTGTGTGATTATCTCAGGTCTAAGCTAGCTGGGTGACCAGGAACCAAGAAGCAGTGGCCTCCCTACTACAATATAGAATATATTACAAATCCAATTAGTGCTGCCAGTAAGTACATGGTGTGGGGGTCATCCACTGAAGTATGGGCAACCCCCCAGGAGTCACACCCCTCAATAAAAAGGAGTCCCCATGCCAGTAGCCATTGGCTGCTAATAGCTCCTCAGTCAGGAGTGAGGCCTCATGTGCCCCTCCCCAGTCCATTCCAGAATATTGATAGGCTTATCTAGTACAAGCAACCACAGCGGTTGTGAGTTCATAAGGGCAATGATGTATTTATCATGTGTGTACGTGTATGTGCATGTGTGCACACATGCGTACATATGTGTGCATGTCACAGTAAACGTGTGGAGGTCAGAGGACAATCACAGGGGAGTTGATTTGATTCTTTCACCATGTGGCAGTTGGGAATAAAGCTCATGCTGCCCCAAAGTGTCCCCCTGCTTCCCACAGAGCTGTCTAGACATCGTAAGGTCCCTGGGGTGACTGATCTGTGTGCCCCAAATTCAGACGCTGATATCCTAGCTTCTCAAGGCCAGGAGGTGGGCCTTTGGGGGTTCCTGTGGTTAGACCTCCTGGATGGGTTAGTGACCAGTGAAAGACACCCTCGATTGTTTTCTTTCCCAATTCAGTTGTCCTGCAGAACTCAGACTGGCAACCACACGTCTGTTTATCTAGTCTGAACTTAATTCTCCTTTTCATTTTTAATACTCCTGAATGTACTTAATTCAGAGAATTATATTAAATGTAATAATCTGATCTTATACCTGAAAAGAAAATATCTAACCTTTTCCCCTTTCTTCCTTGCCTCCTTCCTTTCTTCTCCCTGTGTGTGCACAGTTGTGTGTGTGTATGTGTGTGCACATGCATAATCCTATGTACACCTCTGGGGACATGCAGGGCACAGCACAGCCTTTGGCACTGGTCTTCCCCTTCCCCGTAACTGAGGCTGGCTCTCCCCTTTTTCTGCTGCCGTGGACTAGCTATAATTCTTGTGCTTGGTGGGAGGAAGCAGGAGGATCAAGAAGTTCAAGGTTATCCTTGCCTACATAGTGAGTTTGAGGGCAGCCTGGACTACATGAAACTCTATCCCAAAACAAAATAAACGATGAAAAAGGAAAGAAATGATGCCATCTTAGTTACTTTTCTATTGCTGTGATAAAACGCCTTGGCCAAGGCAATTTACAGAAGAAAAAGTTCATCTGGGACTTAAAGTTCCAGAGGGTTAGGGTCCATGACCATCATGATGGTGAACATGGCAGCAGGCAGGCAGACATGGTGCTGAAGCAGTAGCTGAGAGCTCACCTCTTGACTTGCAAGCATGAAGCAGAGAGAGCTAACTGGGAACTGTGTGAGTCTTTCGATACCTCAGTGCCCACTCCCAGCAACACACCTCCTTCGGCAAGGCCACACCTCCCAATCCTTCACAAACAGTTCCACCAACTGGGGACCAAGCATTCAAATATATGAGCCTATGGGGGCCATTCTCACTCAGACCACCGCAGAGATGATCTGTTGTAGCCATAGTTACAGTGATGTGGTTCATCCCCGTGTGTTTGTGATACAGATGCTGTGAAAACAAATGTGAACCTTGTGTTTCAGAACAATTATACAGGCTTTGGGGCTAGTACCCCTTACACCCCATTCTGCTTTTCTCCCACTCTCCCTCTCCACGGAGCAAACGTCTTTGTTCAGTCTTCAGAACACTTGATTCTCTTTTACTGAGTGGGGTGCTGCCTGACTCCCTGATTCCAAAAGTCAATCAAGAACTTGAAATTTGTCATTTTAATCTTGTGGTTATTATTTTACTATGGGGAACTCCAGACCACTCATGGCTAATCAGAGACCAGGTTCATAGCCAAGGGCCACTGGATACTAAACAAATGTGCCCCTTCTCTGACATTCAAAACCCAGCAGAGCATCCCGTATTTTCATTTACTAAACTTGATAAGTCTAGATGGAACAGCCCTGGAGGAGCAGAACACAGCAAAACGGTTTTTTTCTTATATTTAATAATTATACTTATTTACAAACTCAAACTTTCCGATAACTGTAATTTCTGAGGATTTAGAGGCTTCTAAGTCGGAGGAGTGCTGAGGTGAGTCCACAAGCAGAATCTCCACGTGGATGTTATCAGGGCAATCTCCCTGGAGCTGAAGGAACTGGACTATCCTGATCCGCCCCAAACTTTCAAGACCTAGGCTGTAACCGCACCTTGCCGGCTCCTCCAGGCCTTCCACTCGCCACGATTTTGCGCACATGTCACGTGAAAAAGCAGATTGCACCATCATTATGTAGATAAGAAAATCGAGGATCTGAGGTGGGCAATGTTCTACCCAAGGTCAAATGGAGACCAAAGAGGAGTCAAGCAACTTAAGCCCCTGTGACTCTGGAGCTCTCGTCCCCTGCTTGGGCTCCCTGGGTCTCCAGGTGCCCGTGGCGCAGGCCTGTTTGTCTAGGTGGTCACTCCGATCTTGTCTCCTCTGGAGCCGGCCCTGCAAGTGGCTAACTCTCCTGGCTTCCTGGACAGGAAAGAAGGAGGCAGCGATGGCATGCCTCAGGCGCCAAGCATAGGCCTGCAGCAATAAGGTGGCACCTGCTAACAGCTGCAGGGCACCTGCGGTCAGTGCGGCCCTGACTCGGGGCGGTTGAGCCTGAGGTAGGTGGCAGTCGTGGGGTATGGAGTATAGCTCCCACTGGAAGGAGTGCTGTGCTGAGGCAAACTTGCTCTCCACGGGAGGCTGGTTGAGGATGAAGAAGATGAAACCTAGGAGTTTATATGAGGCCTTCAAAACAGAGAAAAGGATTGAGTCTGAGGCGCCATCGGGCCAGTCCCTATCTCTGCCATCTACAGAATGGGTCAAAGGCACGACAACTATAAATCAGTAGCCAGCAAAGGGGCCCCTCACAAATGTTACCCAAAGTATTTTGGAGAAAACTTTTAAAGTTGGGGATGTATCAATGACTCAGACGGTAGAGTGACTGCCTAGCATGCAGGAAGCCCTGGGTTCCACCCACTTACTGTGTACACCAAGGTGGTAGCCCACTCCTTTGATCTCAGCACTGAGAAGGCAGAGGTGGGTGGAGCTCTGTGGTTTTGAGGCCAGCCTGGTCTGCTTTATCGAGTTTTAGGTCACTCAAGACTACATAGTGAAGACCTATCTTTAGAGAAAAATAAGTCCCACCAATCAACGCTTTGGTGTTATGACGGTCTCATCAGCTTGATAGAATTAACGGTTAGCAACGTACACTCTGGGTGTATCTGTGAGGGTCACAGATCTTGGGGGGGGGGATCAGATCATGGGGGCTCTGTACTAACCAATGATTTGATTGGTTGATGGGTCTACAGCACAAAGGCCTTGTGGGAAGGAGGTGAAAAAGTAGGAGGTGGGGCCACGCTGGAGAAAGCAGTCCCTGGGGGGTGGCTGGGAGCCGCACCTTGCCCTGGCCCCTTCCTATGTTCCATTTCTGTTTTCTTCTTCTCCGTGCCTCCACACCATCTGCCTATGACTCCCAGGCATGTCCCAAGATGATGACTCAAGCCAGCAAACATAGACCAAAGCCCGGGACTGAACAGACTCCGCCCACCTGAATAATTCCGAGAGCAGCCCCCTCCGCGTACTTACGTCATACTTGACCGTGAGAGTTACGGGGATGGTGGGCAACTTCTGAGCCCAGGTCACAGCTGCCTGCGCCAAGAGGAAGGCCCCATAGTCTGTGGCCGCTGTCACAGCTGTAGCGACTAGGAGCAGTGCCAGTAGCCCCAGCCTGAGAAGACAGCTCAGCAATTCCTCATGCGACAGCTTTGGCTGGGCTGCGTGGAGCAGCCAGGGAGGTGGAGAGGCCAGCAGATGTGTGGCACCAGCCTGGGCCAGCTGCTGAACCAGCTGCCGGGTGGCATAGATATTATCGAAGCGCAGGTCAGTGAGGTAGCGGTGAAGGTACCAGGCGGACTCGCCTAGGAGGCCCAGCATAAACAGCCCGGTGACCACCCGCTGAGTCCCCAGTGCTGCCTGGGTCAGGAATTCCAGGCCGGAGAAGTCCTCCTGGATCTGCTGAGCGGCCATATGCATGTGAAGGCGGAAGGCTGAGCTGTTGCCCTGTGCCTCAAACGCCAGGCTCCGACTGCCTGCTTGGCTTGCTGGGCCCAGCGCCTGGGATGCCAGGCCCAGCTGGTAAGTGGTATTAAGCAGACTCTCCAACGAGCCCTCAGTAACACAGCTCAGCACTTGTACGGCTGCACCCAGGTTGGCTAAGACATTGGGCACCACGGCAACAGCCAGGTTGGCTACACTGTAGGACAGGAGTAACTGGCGGCCCTGCTCGGAGCCCAGGGTAGGCACACTGAGTGCAAACAGGCAGCGGATGGGGGGCACCAGGCTCAGGTTCAGGAAGACCAGGAGCCCACAGACAGTGGTCACCAGGGCAGGGGGTCCCTGAGGATAAAGCTGTGAAGAGACCAGCCAGTGATGAAGCAGGCCTGCGATGACGCTGGCCAGGGAAGCACACAGGAGCAGCTGTGTCAGAAGTTCGCTGCAGCTGGTTGGGAGGGGCCGCGAGAAGGCTTTCCAGGCAGTCTGCAGCGGGGCAAGCGCCTTGTAGATCCCCAAACGCCAGAATTTCCATCTGTACACAAGGAAATAGGGGAACTCTGTGTCAGGAGGGGGTGGTGTTCCACCAGCCAGGTTGCTGGCAGAACCTACTCTCATAGTCACAGGGACAGGCACACCTTCAGATAGATCAATCAGAGGTATTCCACCTATGGGGGCGGAACCAATCAGAGCTTTGCCCAGGAAGTCTTTACAGGGTTGTCAGTCAAAAACCTAATGTCTCCAATACTTGAGAATGTGGGGCTGGGTGTCTAGACTGGGGCCATGGTTGCAGGCTCTGAGAGCAGCAGGTAAGTTGTGGAGGGGGAATAAACATGGCTGAAAGACAGAACGTAGCAAGAAGAGAGAATGATTCCCTTCCCCCACAGTCCGTGTGACTCACTGTTGGTCCCATTCATGTTCTTTACAGATCTCAGTGTCACCTCCATCATTTACAGGCAAGGAAAGGTACCAGTTGGTCTCTTGGGGACCTTTTCTCTTCAATCAGCCCTATATTAATCACATTTATTTATTTTTTATTTACTGTGTATTACACATGTGTGTCTGCATGTCAACATCATTCATTCTCCACCTCGATTTCTTCATTACATTTTAATTTTGTGTGCACATGCTTACATGCCTCTGTGCATGTGTGCGCATGTGTGTACAGGTGTGTGCATGTGTGTACAGGTATGTACAGGTGTGTGCATGTGTGTGCATGTGTGTACAGGTGTGTGCATGTGTGTGCATGTGTGTACGGGTGTGTGCATGTGTGTACAGGTGTGTGCATGTGTGCATGTGTGTATAGGTGTGTGCATGTGTGTGCATGTGTGTACAGGTGTGTGCATGTGTACATGTGTGTACATGTGTATGCATGTGTGTGCATGCATGGAGGTGTGCACATGTGGGTATGTGGGGGTTTGTGGGTGCTTGCATGCCTCTGTGTATGTATGTCTTTGCTTATGTGTGCATGTGTGCATGTGTGCATGTGTATAGACATCAGAGGACAACTTGTAAGAGTCACAGGATGATTTACTTCCAGTATCTGTTTCTTGCCTTCTATCACGTGGGTTTTAAGGACTGAACTTGGCTCTCTGACTTGGTGTCGGCACTTTACTGGCTGAGATGTCTCACGGGCCCACCACCACGTTTTTCTGAGGTGAGTCTCTCACTGGCCCGGTGCTCACCAATTTAACTAAATGGCTGACCAGCAAGCCTTAGGGAGCTGTCTCCACTTCCCCAGAGCTGGGCTTGCAGCCAGAGCTGGGTTCACGGGTGCGTTCTCTCACGCCTTGCTTTTTCGCATGCATTCTGGCATTGGCATCAGGTCCTCACACTTGTGCAGCAGGCACTTTACTGAGTGAGTTGTCTCTCCAGCCCTCAACGAATATCTGTTCAGCGATTACTGTGAGCTTAGCGTTGGAGACGCGGCAGTAAGAGAAGCAGACTGACTCTGACCTCCTAGGCGCTCACACTAGTGACAGCAGAAAGGAAGTTACAACACAGCTGGATTTAGGGGTCAGTGTGGCAACATTTTGTTTGTATTTTAACAAGTAAAGCTTGCCTGAAGATCAGAGTACAGAGCTAAGCCACTAGAGGCCAGGCAGTGGTGGCACACACTTTTAATCTCAGGAGTCAGGGGACAGATGAATCTCTGTTAGTTCAAGGCCACCCTGAGCTACACGAAATTGATCCAGTCTATAAGAGAAACAGCGTTCACACAAAGGTGATCCCAGTACTTGGGATCACACCTTTAATCTCAGCACTAGGGAGGTGGAGGCAGGAGAGATATGAACAGGTGGAGGGAGGAATACAAGGTGGGAGGAGACAGGAGCTCAAGGCAGTCTGAGGAAAGGGCACTCTGAAAGGCAGACAGTCTGAGGACGGGATCGCCCCTTTGGTCTGAGCATTGGTAGAGATGAAGAACTCTCTAGAGGCTGGCCGCTCTGCTTCTCTAACCTTCAGCTTTAACCCCTATATCTGACTCTGGGTTTTTATTATTGAGACCAGTTAGAATTCCTGTTACAGGTCAGATATGAAACACGGACATCTGGTTTATCACTGCTGTCTTTGCTGCAGGTGGCTGGGTGGAACTGGACACCCATCCACTGCCTCCAGGGCTTTACGTAGGAGTGCGCCCCCTATAGGCGCTTGTCACTGCTGCACACCCGGGAGTCTTCAACCCCTGTACCCCCTTCCTGGCCCCCAAAGACATACATACTACACACTACACACAGCTTGATTCGTTTGGGAATGGGGAAGTGAAATAATGTCAAGGAGCATAAATGCTTTTAAGAACCGGAAGCTATGTCAGGTGCTCAGTCAGCCGGGTATTATCAGTGGCAGGGAGTGTCATAGCTTTCTCTCTGAACAGCATCCTCTGCACACCCCTCTTGTTCTGTTCCCGCACAGCCTTACAGCCATGGCTGTTGTTTCCATCTGACAAGGAGGAAACCGAGGCCAGAAAGGGGAGGGCTCATTGGTGGTCTCAGCCGGTGAGGGGGAAGACTTGAGACCGGAGTTAATGCCCGTTTCAAGGGGCTGCTGACTTTTCTTGCCCGTGCCCCTTGTGTCCCAATCCCTGAACCTACCCCAACCTGATGAGGTGTTCCACGGCTCCTCTGTTGTCCCCCATGGTCTTTGAGAGCTGAGTTCAGGCAGCTGCCGCGACAGCCATGGCGGGTGGAGAGGAAGTGTTGGGATCGTCTGGTAGCTTCTGCTTTCGTCCCTTTAATCAGACCCTCCTTGCTGCCTCATCCTGCCCAGCCAGGGGCCCAACTCTTGGGGGCTGGACCAGCTGTCTCATCCTCTCTTGAATGGCAGTCAGGAGACGCCAGGGGTGGGAGGAGGAGGAGGGTGAGAGGAGACATATTTTCCGAGCATTGCCTGTGATCCTGAGGGAAGGAAGGTAGAATTAGCCTATTTCTTGGAGGAAGAAACTGAGGTTCAGGGAAACCATGCAGCTCATTCACAGTAACACCAGACTAAGAGCTCCACTCTGCTTTCCTGTCCCTCCTCCCATAGTTAGGCCTCCCAGAAAAACCCAATCCTTGATTCTGGGGATGAAAGCCCGCAGGAGACCCACAGGGACCCGCTAAGGCCACACTGTGCTGTTCTTAGCCACCACGTACAGACACGGAAAGAGAATAATAAATGCAGCCTGTACTGAAAACTGTAGGTGCTCAATAGTTGCACGAGTCCCTGTGGTGATTGGGGGGTAACTCCAGTCCATCCCCACCTGGCATGCAGAGACTTCTCCCTAGCACCAGTCCCCCATCACTGTCTATACCAGGACTGCACCCAAGAGGCCTCCTCTGTCATGGGAATTCCCCACCACCACCACCACCACACATACACAAAGAACAGAGCTGCCAGCCAGCCAGCGTCCCTTATAAGGATATCCTGCTGAGTCATGAGCTCAGGCCTGATAGGGAAAGGGACTTCCCTAGTACATAATTGAGGGAGACACCTACGACCAAAGCTTCAGAAAGCAGTGAACCCCTCCAGGAAGCCAGGAGCCTTCACTCATCCACTCCCACCCATGCCCAAGAAAAGTTTTGGCACACAGTAGAGCCCAGAAGCTGTCAATCCTCAGGTGTTATGGGGCTGCAACTCTCCTAGAGTTCACATCAAGTTGCCTGGGTACCAGCATTCTCCATGGGACACTCACAATTCGGTGCCAAAATGACCAAGGTTGTAAAGCCAGGAAAGAAGGAAATAGTAAACAGGGAAGGGAAGAGAGGGAGCAGACAGACAGACAGACAGACACACACACACACACACACACGGAACGGGGGCCGAGAGACATTAACACTTTTATATTGCTGGCCAGTCTTATAGGAGGCTTGGGTCCTCTGCTGTCTAGTGGGCTTCAAGGAGCTATTCAGCTGGCCTCTTTGTAGAGACAACAGATCTACCTGCAAATGCAGGCTTCCACACGTTGTGCTATGTGACCTTGAGCTAGGGCTGTTCCTCTCTGAAGTCTCGGCAGCATCTGCTACGTGAGAACAAAGCACCTATTCCATGGGTTTGGAAATACAAAGTGTTCAGCAGGCAGTACATAAATGTTCACACCATAAACCCTTCCCTCTGGGTTTCAGCCTTGCCTGGGTGAAATCCAGGCTGCTCAGACTTGACTGCTCAGGCCAGATGTTCTCCATAACCCCCAACCCCATCTCCACACCCCAGCTTGGGTCTCATCAGGGTTTGGGACTGCATCCCATAAATCATGGCCAGCCTCTGCCCAGCTCCGTAGCTGGTTGGTTAGGAAACAGAGACCATTTGGGGAAGCCCCAGGTGACTGAAGGGGAGCTGGAGCACAGAGCCTGGGGCGCAAAAGGCAGGAGATATTTGGGGGTTCTTTTGGAAAACGTGCATCGTCACCTCTACTCAGGCAGGGCTGGCCTGGCCTCAAGGCCCACAGCATCCAGAGGGGCTTGAGTCACCAGAAGTCAACAGGGCTGAGCTGGGTGTGGGAGTTTAATCTTAAAGGAATCAGAGGCACGAGATGAAGAGGAAGTAGAGAGTCTTCGGCTATTCCCAGGGCCACTCAACTCACAGCCCGTGTTGTGTCCTGGTTCCCGGGGCCACTCAACTCACAGCCCCACAGTGCTTTGTGTCCTGGTGCTTTTTAGCAAAGGGGGGAGAAGGTGGCCGCAGCACACATGGCTGAGAACGCCCAGGTGGCTGTAACCTTCCCAGCAGGCTGTGGCGATGTCTCAAACTCTAACGTCTTTGCTGTGTAAGCACAAGAACCTGAGTACCAGCCCCAGAATCCATGGAGAAAAGGCAGCCAGCAATGGTGACATACACTCATAGTCCAACCTGGGCAGGTGGAAACAGTGGGGTGCCTGGAGCTTGCTGGCTGGCTAGCCTGACTGAACTGTGTCTTGAAGTTTAGTGTGGTCAGGGGACAGCTGCTGAGGGTTGTCTCTGGCCTACAGGCACTCACATTAGTGCACCCATATGCACACGGACATGGACACACACACACACACACACACACACACATCTTACCAGAGACAACCTAACAGAATCAGAATGGGAGCCACCAGCAAGAGCCATAGAAGTTGTTTCTGGTAACAAAGTAAAAACTGAAAACCAGCAGGGTAGTGGTGGCG